GAGGAGTCCTGTGCCCTCATCTGCCAGGTGTTCCAGATCATCTACGGCGACCAGAGCATCGAGTGCGTGGACAGAGCCGGGTACCACTACACCTCCACGCCCACACGGCCCTGGCTCTCCAGCAGGAGTGAGTGGATGCAGACAGGAATGGGAACATCAAGGGGGGTGTCATGGGGCACACGGGTGGGGGTACATGGACACATGGTGGGGGGTTTGTCTCTGCTATGAGGTCTCTGCTCTCCTTCCCCAGGCGAGAGCTGCCGCACAGATGGGACATATGGCTACGATGCTGACTACAGCTGCTGCAGCTCCTTGTGAGTCTGGCTGCCCCAGGGTGACCCTGGGGGGGTACCCCTACCCTTGGCTGGGTGCCCACTGCAGTGATGCCCCAGCCCCATGTGATGGTGGGTGCTGTGCAGTGGGTGGGTGGCAGCGGAGCACACGGTGGGCACAGGGACCCACTGACCCGTGTCCTCCCCCAGCAATGGCTCCCACGAGACCTTTGAGGCGTATTACAGTGGCACCTCCTCGCCCTCCTTCCACCGCTCCCACCACAGCCTGGCCACCGCCTGCAGTGGCAGTGACCAGAGCGGCGCAGGGCTGGAGCAGCTGCAGGACTACATGGTGACGGTGAGGGCACAGGGACGGGCACAGGGACAAATGGCAGGCCGGCAGTGCCAGCAGCTGGGGCAGGGCAAGAGGCAGGTCTGGCCTCCCTGTGCCAGACAGCAGCAGTGGGACACAGGGTGGGGGGCTGGGGGCTGTGTGCTGCTGGTGTCCCCAAGCCAAACCCATCCCTGTGTCACCCCAGCTGCGCAACAAGCTGTCACCACAGGAGATCCAGCAGTTTGCCATCCTGCTCCGTGAGTACCGGCTGGGCACGCCGGTGCAGGAATACTGCACGGAGCTCCTGCGCCTCTACGGGGACCGCAGGAAGTTCCTCCTCCTGGGTGAGTGTCTGCAGCCACCGCTGGTGATGTCTGTGCATCCCCTGGGGACACTTCAGGGGATGTCAGGACCCTGCTGCTTACTGGGGGCAGGATGGGACAAACCAGTAGGGCTGAGCAGCCTCCAAGGCTTACAGTGCTTCTGACAGGAATGAGGCCCTTCATCCCTGACCAAGACATCGGGTACTTTGAGACCTTCCTGGAGAGCATCGGGATCCGGGAGGGCGGGATCCTCACCGACAGCTTCGGCCGCATCAAGCGCAGCATGAGCAACACGTCAGCCTCGGCCGTGCGCAGCTACGACAGCTGGTCCCTGCGCTCCGAGAGCGAGTCCTTCAACCGCATCATCACCGACATCACCCACGACATCGAGGCACTGGCACGGGATGAGGAGGAGGAGGAGGAGGAGGAAGAGGACAACTACCTGTGAGCCAGTGCCAAAACCCAGCTGTGCTCTCTCTGCTCGCTGATGCGGCGCTGCACCTCCAGGAGCAGCCTCAGCAGGTGCCCAGCTCTGCACCAGAACCAGGGAGGGTGAATTTGTCACCGTGGGAGGGGACAGGTCTCTGCACTGCCCTGTCAGCTCTTGTCGAGACTGTGGAATCACAGGGCAGCTGTGGCTGTAGGGGAGACACATGTGCTGTAATTTCTGCAGATATCAATTAAATGCTGGGGCTGGGGAAAGGGGTCGCTGTGGTGTGGGGTGAGCTGGGGCAAGGGGCTGCTGGGCTGGGCACCTGCCCACTGCAGTGTCACCTGGATGTCAGGGTGCTGCTGGCTGTTCCTGGCTGGCTCCAGGGGATGCTCAGAGCAATGGAGGGGGTCAGCATGAATGTGCTGGGAGAGGAAAGGGCTGGAGGCCGCAGCTGGCCTGCTGCTGCCTGCGACGCTTGTGCGACACTCGTCCGGCCGCAGGCTNTCGTGTCGCCCATCAAGCGGCTGGTTTTCCCCAAGGCTGCGCGGAGGGCAGCGCTCCGCAGCAGCGTCTACCGGCGCCCGCTGCACTCCGTGCCCCTCTACCCCCCCGACTACCTGATCGACCCCCAGATCCTGCTGCACGACTACGTGGAGAAGGAGGTGAAGGTAAAGGGATGCCCAAAAGTCCCCGGGGTCACTGCTTGCTTGGGGCGGGGTTATGAGGCCACCACACGGTGCTGAGAGCCACACAGAGTGGCCAGGAGGGTCTGGGTCCCCTCCCTGCCCAGGCAAACACCCAGAAAGGATGAGGGTGCTCTGGCGGTGCAGGGAGGAACCCCTAAATGCAGGATCTCCCCGAACCTCAGGGAGATGTGTCCTGACCTTGGGGCCATGCCCCAGCCTCCCCAAGCTGCCCGGGGCTTTCCTTCCCCTAGTTTTTAGGTCATCTGACATGGGTGACATCGTCCCTGAACCCCTCCAGCCGGGATGAGGTGCTGCAGCTGCTGGACACGGCCAGGGTAAGAGGGGCCCCACTCCCCAGAGGGTGGGCACGGGGTACTCCACCCTGCCGGGTGCCCCACGCAGCCCCCGCGCTCTGTCCGTGCAGCAGCTGAAGGAGCTGCCGCTGCAGACCACGCCGGAGCAGGACAGCATCCTCAGCCTCTCGGCGCGCTGCCTGCTGCTCACCTGGCGCGACAACGAGGAGCTCATCCTGCGAATCCCCACACACGAGATCGCAGCCGCCTCCTACCTGCGCGACGATGCCCTGCACCTCCTCATCCTCAAAACCGGTGCGGGGGTCCGGCCGGGGGCCGCCAGCCGAGCCCCGAGGGGCTGTGAAGGGCTGGAGCACGGAGGGTGATGGGTGTCAGAGTCTATCAGGGCGGCAAAATCCCGCCTTGTCCCTGTCTTGGTGTGTCCCATCCTCTCCTACACACAGAGTCCCGGAGGGGTGTCCCCAATCCACTGGGGCTCCCACATCCCCATCCCTCTGCATCCCCCTGGGCTGGTGGGACAGGGAGGCCAGGGCAGGGGCTGGGGACCC